TTCACTCTAGTTCTTCAGGTACCACACTTTACCATAATTTCAGGTAAAGTCCTTTTCAGGCCAGAGCTAATCTTTTCTCTCTGGCCCTATCAGCTTCTCTCGACCCCTGTTCTTAGAGATCTTATATCCAGGTGTTTTCATGTATCTGATCAGGGTAGGGAGCAGCTACAAAGCCAGCTCAAGACAATCATTATTTGCATCCCATTCCTTAGAATTTCCTCAGGGTTGGAAATCTTTAATTTTCCCCACCCCTGTGGAAAAGTACAAAAATTCAAGATGGATTTCAGCACCAGGTGGCATGGTCACATGTCTTTGCAGGACCAACCACAATTCAAACTTACATGAAAAACAAGACTGTTCACATATCATTGCCTTGAGCACTAGTCCATTAAGTTCCTTGAGTACTGATAATGGCCTTTGTTAGCACATGTAGATACATAAATGGGCCTTTTTTCATAATTCTAATTTCATATGCAAAAATGATACATGCACACAAACAGAATATGCACATACAAGGGATTACAAGTTCTCCAATGATAGGTTACATGCCCCCAGTTTGCATGAAGCATATTTGAGTTATGTATATTCATAGTCAAGGACACATTTTTATAAAAATATGGAGGCACAAGTGTCATACCCCATTTTACCACTGAGGCAAAAGGGAATTTAACCAAGATCTAAGTCCTAGGCTGATTCCCTAACCACCCAACCATCCTTTTATCCACTGAACAGTGCCCTCAAGACAACTTATTGCCCACAGTGTCTTCTATTATTGCCCAACACTGTTTCTGTACAGCCACGCTATGAAGTCCTTGCTCTCAAGAGCTTATCAACAAAGTCTTAGCCCTTTGTGAAAGCCAGCTTGGTATATACATGAACACCATTCATTATTAGCAAGCTCTAAGCATGGTAACTTGTGGAACTGACCGCTAAACCGAGTGGGCCAAAGTCTGAATTCTTGTATGTGTCTGGAATCAACTCTGCTGACTTCTCTGCTAAGGCTCTTGCTGAAACAGATGGGTGCTCAGACATCACACTGATGGGCAATAAGAACCTAAACAAGAGAGGTATTCTGGATGGATCAATCCAGTTGCTGCTGTTTTGCTTCACTGAAGATGAAAGCATGGGCTAACACCAGTGCAACTGAGTACATTTTGTAGGTCTGAAAGAGATCCGAAAGCCAGATCCTTAGCTGTTATGAACAGGTGAGGTCTGCTGAGTTAGACTGATTTGTGCCAATTTAAAAAGACTGGGACTTTTCAGCTTAAAAAAAGGGAAGACTAGACGTGGAGATATAATAGAGGTTATAAAATCATGAAGAGGTATGGAGAAAGTGAATAAGGAAAAGCCATTTACTTGTTCCCATAACATAAGAACTAAGGGTCACCCAATGAAATTAATAGGCAGCAGGTTTAAAACAAACAAAAGGAAGTATTTCTTCATGCAGCACACAGCCAACCTGTGGAACTCCTTGCCAGAGGATGCTGTGAAGACTAGGACTTTAATAGGGTTCAAAAAAGAACTAGATCTATCCTCCATGAATTTGTCCATCCCTGGCTACAAGCCAGGATGGGTAGGAATTGCATCCCTGTTTATCCAATGCTAGAAATGGATGACAGGGGAGGGACCACTTGATAATTGCCTGTTCTTTTCATTCACTCCAGGGCACCTGGCATTGGCCACTGTCAGCAGACAGGAGACTGAGTTAGCTGGACCTTTGGTCTGACCCAGTATGGCCATTCTTATCACTGAGGGCAGTGTCATGGGGCAATCTCACCACCATAGCACCTTCAGCCCTGGGAATTAGCTTGTTTGGCTGGCTAGACACCTCCCATTTGGTAGCATTTCTCCTTGTTTCTCTTTGACCACGGCATCCTCTTCAGGACACTGCCCTCCAGCAGCATCCAGGCCTGTGGGGGGGGGGGGGGAGAGAGGAGGGGGGTTTACTGCACTTCAAACTACAGGGTCCTCCCCTCCCCAGAAGCCCCCAGTTCTGCTCCCAGGGAACACCCAGCTCCCCTGCACCCACCCACTGCCAGTCTTCATCTAGCCCCTGCCTCAGGGGCAGACTGCAGTCTGGAATGGCCAATCATCACTGGCTAAGGGGTGTGAACCTGCTACCCCTGCCTACCATGGCTTTCCCTTGCAGCCCCAGTAGCTTCAGGCCTTGCTCCAGGCCCTGCAGCCTGGGAGCTTGGTTGGCCAGAGCCTGCCTGCCTGCCTGCCCTTCCAGAAGCCGCCCCCGTCCCCAACAGTCAGGTCCCGGTCTCCTTCTCCAGGGAGCAGGAGCCCAGCCCCAAAACCCACCTACCACTGGGAGTCCTTCTTTATATAGCCCCCAGCTGGGTGCTCATTAGCAGAGCTGCCTCATCTGGGGCTTCACTCTCAGCCCTCACTCAGGGCTGGGGTTTTGCCCTTAAAAGGCCAGTGCAGGGCAAATGCCCTGGCACAGGCAGTAATGGACAAAGCAAAGCTGGCTCTTCCATTGGCTACAAATCTTTGCCAATCTGTTTCTCTATGCTTTGCTCTGTACTGGCTCCTTTGCAATGTCACCGAAGATGGACTCATCTCCTCTGCCTGCTGTCACTTTCAGTGAAGCAGAACGACTTGCAAGCCTCTCCCATCGAGCTAGGTTCTCATACGGTGCCCATCACTGTGGGATCTGAGCATTCATCTCTTCCAGCAAGAGCCTTTCTCTGAAATTATGACACTGGTTTTTCTGATCCTGGAACTTGCAGTAAAAGGAATTACAGAGAACTCCAAATGTGGAGGGTGGACAGACACCACATATCCTTCCACCACGTTCCTGGAGGTGATTTACGTGAGAGATACTTGGCTGAGACTACCACATTTATGGCACCTGTGGCCAGTGGCGTTCAAAAGGGAAAATTGGCTTTTTGTGCCATTGCATGTGGTGTTGTCTCCATCTCTGATCCACAAAGCGCAGCTTTCAAACCACACTAATGAACCTTTTAGACAATTTAGTCCCATGCATATGGAATCAAACAGCTGCTTTTAAAATGAAATGCTGCTTTTTAAGTGTGTGTCACTGCTGCTCCTAGCCCCAGCTGAGTGAGGAAACGGGAGTCTGGGAGCCTTGGTAACAAGCACTGTGTGACAGATTCCTCCCAGGGAGAATAACTGATAAAATGTTTTTTCTTAGTTGCAGGAAAGTGAGACCCAGAATTTGCTTCACATGCACAGACTTTAAGGCCAGAAGGGGCCATCATGATGTTCTAATCTGATTTCCTGCATAGTACAGGCTACACAACATCACTCGTTCAAACCTCTAACTTCTGTCTTAGTTACTGAAGTCCTCAGATCATGATTTAAAGTCTTCAGATTACAGAGAATCCACCATTTATTTTAGTTTAAATCTGCTAGTGACCTATGCCCCTGCTGCAACTGAGGAAAGTGAAAACTCTCCAGGACTCTGCCAATCTGACTCAGAGAAAATTCCTTCCTGACCCCAAATAGGGAAATTAGTCAGACCCTGAAGCATGTTGGTAAGACCCACCAGACAGACACCCGGGAAAGAATTTGCTTAGTGACATGGAACCCTCTCTACCTAGCACCCATCTCAAGCCACTGGGAATATTTCCTACTAGCAATCCCAGATCTGCTACATGCTATTATAGGAAGTCTCATCATACTAACCTCTCCATAAACTTTCAAGCTCAGTCTTGAAACCAGGCCAGTTTTTTGCACCCACTTCTCCCCTTGGAAGGCTGCTCCAGAATGTCAATGCTCTGATGGTGTTGCGGAGTGTGGGGGAGTCAGTGGGCCCTACAGCCCCATCCACAGCCAGATGTGACTCTCAGCCAGCAAGTAGAACAGACGGTTTATTCATTGACAGGGACACAGAGGAGCAAAGACTTGCTGTTAACACAGGAACCAGAAGCCGTCAGTACAATCCAACTTGGGGAGAGAGGGCCTACAGCCAGTATCCTGGACCCCCTCCCTGCATCCTTCACCTGCCCAGAATAGGGTTGCCAGGTGTCTGGTATTCTACCGGACAGTCCGGTATTTGCGCTCTTTGTCCGGTTAAAAAAATCAGAGAATACTGGACATGTGCAATGTCCGGTATTCTCTGATTTTTCCGGCTGTGCACCGGACGGAAGCCTGCCGTGGGTGGGGGGAACGG